AGATCGGAATAATTAAATGAGAACATTGTTAATCCTTTTGAAAGAGGGGATGGACCACATATAAAAAAAAAATTTGCAAAATTGAAACTGTTTTCAGTTAATAAATAATGGCATGAATAAACCTTTTCTCACACGGAAATGACATAGATGAGCCAATTTTTTAACAAATAATATAAATAAGCATTTTCTCAATGTTCGATAACATATATATATAAGACTTTAAATATTTTTAAGGGACATATAAAGAAAAAACACGACAAATAAAATAGATCGAAACAATAAAATCATGAGAATGTTGTTAATCCTTTGGAAAGAGGTGAGGTGCACAAATTTTGTAATGAAGTGATAATTAGTGATTACAATTATAAGCATATATTAGTGTTTTAATCATTGGAAGACAAATGAACCCTACTCCAACTCTATCAAGATCATATCCTATAATTACTTTCCCAAAAGCCAAGGAATAAAGAAAAGAATGAGTACTGTCCTAAATTACTCCCACCACTATATGTTTTTTCTCCATTTTTGCATTGAAAAAATTCTACTTTCATTTGATACTTTAATTTTTGTTTGGTGGATTCATACCTACTTTTCCACATTTCACATTATGATGATTATTTTCTGCTTTTTATGCCACCAATGCTTAAAACAAATATGACCACCTTCACTTTTATACTCAAAATCATCAAAGAATGAAGACCAGATCATATAAATAGTAGACGGCGATTATTAACACATATCCTCCTCGATTTCAGCAACTTTGTTCTACTCTCCGCTCCTTTATTTTTACTTGTTTATTTTAAATTGAGAAAAAAATATTGAAAATATCTAACATAAATTATTAGTTTTATTCTCGAATGATTGACAGCCTTAAAAACACTTTTTTACTTGTTAAACTAAATTTAGATACACTCATGATCTGTCACATGACATAACAAGTCGTCTCAAAACGAGGCGTATCCTGGAGGGGGTCACCGGGTTCACATGAACCCATACTCCCCTCCTAAAATCATATATAGTAGTGTTATATTTTTAATAAATATTTAAATATAAATGTGTGAACCCACACTTGAAGTATCATATAATGCCGTGCGATGATGATTGGGTGCACCTCTCTAAGTGAGGCTAGAAATTTGAATCTTTTATTTATTTTCCTTTCTAAAATTGGGTAACGCATCTCTAAATGGTTTGGATAGATAAAAAAAAACTGGACCTATAATTTTAAAATTTTAATGGTTTTCAGTGATAAGAACCTAAACATTATACATATCAAATTTATATCTTAGATCTACCTTTTCGTAATAGTGCACCCATCATCTCAAAATCCTGGATACGCGCCTCTGGACTCTCAAACTCTTGTAAGAGCATGAGACTCTTAATAAAAAGCCGAAAGAAGTGTTGAAACTTCTACACTTGACGAGAATTTAAGGGTGTATTTCACTAATGTTGCAAGATCGAGGGTGTATTTAAGTTCAATTAGTTAATTAGTAAAGGGGTGTTTTTAAGGCTGTCAATAGTTCGGAGATAAAACTAATAATTCGCGCAAGTGTAGAAGTGTTCTGAAAACTTCTCTCTTTTAAATATTATATATTGTTTAAGCAATAATAATTGACATATGTGTTTTATTATAATATTCATATTAATTGACGTTTAGCCTTAGATCTTAGACATAATTTGAGAAAAAAAATAACTGCATTAAGCATAAAATATGAGGGAAAATATGTCTTTCTCTTGATATGCTAAAAATGAAAATATACTTTTAGTATAATGGACAAGTAAAGGTGAACGGATAGAATACTACATGTAATACTTCCTTCATTTCAAATTATCTTTCTTAAAATAATTATCTCATTTTATTTGTCATATTTAGAAGTTTAAAACAAAATTAATAACTTTTTCTCGTATCCTTAATATATAGTACTCCCTCCGTCTATCTTTACTTGTCCATTATACTAAAAATAATTATTCAACTTTACTTATTGAATTTGAAAAAATCAAGAGATAATTTATCATTTGTATCTATTTCTTTTAACATATTTGTGACTATTTTATCCTTACTTATTATAGACAGTACTATTTATTCTCCAACGTTCAGATGATTTATAATTAACAAAATTGGTATAATAAAGTTACTCTTTAATTTATTATTTTTACGAAATGTATCAAATTAAATATGGAAAAATAAAAATAGACGAAGCTACAAAGAAAAATAACATATAAGTAAGAATAAATTAAAATAGTTAAAAAAAAATTTAATTATGAAACTTTTTAAGGACGTGGGAAAGATATGTTAAGAAGTCTCATGTCGGTAGAGTGATGATAAATTGGTTTCCTTATATAGATTTAGACAAACCTCCTCTCATGAGCTAGCTTTTGGGGTTGGATGAGGATCAGAATCAAGTGTTATATCTTTACACAGTATCAAAGTCAGATTCATTCCAATTTATTATTTACCGATATTTAGCCCCCATTATAAATGCTTACGCTCCAATTTCATATAAGCTAATTTTTAGTTAGCAAATATCTTATCTTACCGACATAAACATAACCATGTGAGCCAAAGGGAGTAGCTAGTAGTGGAAAATATAGTCTCTTAATTATTTTTTACACAAATCCCAAGTAGATATCATTTTGCTTTTCCCAGTCCAAGTAATTTGACACAACTAAAGTTATAGTACTTAAATTCGTACCATATTATTTTGAGTTTATGTTTCCACACCCGCAGAAAACCTATTTAAATTGAGTTAACCCACAATAACATGTAATTCTAGTATATATTAAGTCCAATATGATTAGGTGACAAATACAGTAATAATATGAAAAAAAAAGTATGCAATAATCATATTATAACTTTAACTCTAAATTTTTTTCCAAGTTTTGAAATGCCAAAAGTTTTAAGGAGCATGATCTTATAACGTGTGTTTAACCTTTCAGAAAAGGTGACAATGATGCTACACTTGTATGCTGAGACCACTGTTGGAAAGTTAAAGATTGATGTACATTCATCATTCAACATGTAGAAAATTTTTAGACATCCAAAATAATTAGATGTGGGGAAAAAAATGAAGGATGGATGACTACTACTTGTCATGAACATCAATCATAATGTTGAGATTAAATTTGGCTCATACCATATATATATGTGTAAAGCAAATTAAGTACTGTTTTCTTTTAATCTTGTGGTATAGTTTAGATATCGAAAATTAATTTTTTTGTTTTGATTTTGAATTTGGAGATAGAATCTTTAAGTAACAATAGCTAATAACTCAAATAATTAAAATGTATATAAAAATTCACGGTAAAATTCCTTTTGAATTGAGTGAAATCGTTCAGAAGCTTTAAGAAAGGGTAAGACCACGATTTAACCATTTAATTTGTGGATCAAACTTAAAGGCAAGTTGAGACTTTTTAAACTCTTAGGAAGTGTTTTGTATTAATAAAATTGATTGTTTAATAGGTTAAGCATAAGCATATTACATATGATGATTCATATGGTCATTGTTGTCTTTGTGGCTTGATTATTTGTTGGTCTAATTAATTAAGATCGGATCTTGATGAAGTGATGGTATTGATTTTTCGTTTATTTCTAAGAAAAATATTGTAACTATCGTGTTTATTTATCGGTTTGAATTACCTATATTTGTTATTGGTATGACTATAGAGGAGCGTGGAGGTTATAAACATGGTTATACCAATTCTTGTCATTGCTTTATTTAGGATCGATCGGCGATGTTAATGAGTGTATGCATTTTTCATACTCATTCTACACTTGTTGTACTTTTTTTATGTGCAAGTTTTGTGTTTCGAGTTTTGAGTGGTTGGTGAGCTTGTTGCTGATTAGTGATATATATCTTAAAGTATTCGGAGTGAGCTGCTTGACTGTTTCATAGCAGGATACTTCTTTCCTGTTTGTTTATTCTTCTGTTTTTTTTCTTTTGAACAAATGGATGAAATTATAATTCTATTTTAGAAGCTTTTCTACTTGTGACACGGGGTTATGAGTGACGTTGTACTAGATTTTTCACATTTTCTAATGTATGAATGCTACTTTTGACTTTATTACTATCAGTTTTTTTTGTTACTTCCGCGTTTAAAATTAATTGGTTCGCCTACAAGGTTTGAGTAGGTGTCATCATAGCTTATAATTTTCAGATCGTAACACATCTCAAACCCATAAAGTTCAAATCTCTAATTACATGATTTCCCAAAAGAATCCAAATGATGAGAAGTTAATAATCTCATGATTAGTGTGTTAATCAACCAAGCAATATTGAAAAAGTACAACAAAATATCTAAACAAATTCAGGCATGTAAGTTTCTATACTGACTAAACTGACATAGCAGTCTCTCCTGCATCATAAGACATAATGCAGTATAATAAAACAAAAAAGTATTTGATCAAAAACCAAAAAAAAAAAAACAATAAAGTGAAAGTAGCTGAGTCATGTTTGTTGGAATAAGAGAGTAATTTTCATGGGGCCAAGTGAAAATTCAACATATTAGTGAAGTATTCAAAGGAATGAAAGCCAAAATGTTGCTTTCTCTAATAACAAAGCAAAAACAAAATTAAAATATACACCCTTCCTTCTTGCAGTAAAGGACAACAAGAATATCTTTAGTTGTCTCTCTTTAATAAAGAAAAAGTAGCACTTTTTTTTTAATTCAAAAACTCCCTCAAACCAAACCAAGAATATATCCAACCTATTGGAATGCAATCATCCCACATGTATGATTCTTATTACTCCTTCCGTTTCATTTTATATGAGTTACTTTGACTTAATACAAAGTTTAAGAAAGAAATAAAGATTTTTGAAATTCGTGGCCTAATAAATCACTCCATTAAGGATAAAATGGGTATTTTAAAGTTAAATTATTACTTAATATAGGAATGTGTCATTCTTTTCTGAAAGGACTAAAAAGAAAAGTAAATCATATAAAATGGAACAGAGCGAATAGTTGTTTCTCCTTAAGTCTCTTAATTCTCTTGTTTCACTCAAGAAACAAACTTTATATATATATTGAAATATTCCCACATGTATTGTCTTAGCTAATGCAATTGTTCTCCATCTCCCATTTGCTTCTCCAACATCTTCCTTTGGTTTCACTCAAAGAACACAACGTTAGTCTTAAAACAACTTCATACCATTAGTCGAACTACTGAACTCAATCACTTGTTGTCGTTTACTCTTAAATTTTCTATCAAGACCCGTCCTACATCCTACCTACCCTAACATAATCGTCACGACCCAAAATTCCAAGAAAATGGATCAATTGCAACCACAACAACCAGTTCAAGTTTATCCAAACAATCCAAACAACTTCCCTAACCAACCAAACAATATGCCAATGACTCAATCTTCTTCTTCTCATAACTCATCAAATGGTTCATTTGTGAGTGTTTTTGTTGTCCTAGCTATTGTTTTTGTCATATCTGTTATTGCTTGTGTTGTGGGACGTTTATGTAGCAAGAAAAGCAATGGACCTAAGGTGAAGAAAAGTCATGGTCAGCAACAAAAACAAAAAGAGGGAAAACATAATAAGCACAATGAGTTTCATAATAAAAGAGAAGGAGGGGATATAGAATTTGGATTTGATAAGAAAATTGCAAGTTCTAAAGTGGCTGCAGCACATGGAGATAATCATTATAAGGGGCCTAAGCCTTATAAGAATGCTAGTGGAGGTAAAGGGGGAGTTAGATTTTCTGATAATCATATTGATTTCAAGCTTGGTCCATGAAAATTTGTAGAAAAAAAATATATGTTCATAGATGAACTCTCTCTATGTACTAATTACTTTGGTAGTAGTTTTTTTTTTTTTTTTTTTTTAAAATGGGGGGGGGGGAATAA